CCGCCGCCCCCTGCTCCCGCTCCCCCGCGCTCCCACTCTCTTCCTTGTAGCTTTTGCAACTTACCCGTCAAAATGGCCGATCTGACATCTGTGCTTAACTCTGTCCTGTTTTCTTCTTCCAGCAAAATGTTTATCGGAGGCCTGAGCTGGCAAACCTCACCAGGTAAGGGGGCCCGGGGCCGGGGGGCGCCCCCCGCCCGCCCGCGGCTGGATGGCCCTTTGTTAGCCCGCCGCACTTGCCCCTCGCCATCGCGCTCCCCCCGCGCTCACTTCTCCTGTGCAAGGTTACACATCGCCCTGTCCCCCCCTTCCCTGGCAAAGCCTTTGTCGAGTCCTCTATTCGACCTCAAATGGGCGCGCGCCTTCGCCCGCCGCCCCCCGCCCCAGCCCGCTCCCCGCCGTCCCCTCCGCGGGTGCTGGTCCCCAAAATTGCTGGTATTATTATTATTCTCCTCCTTGTTTCTCCTCTCCCACCTCTCTCTCTCTTTCTCCCTCCGGCTCTCTTTTCCGCTTTTTCTCCACAGATAGCCTTAGAGACTATTTTAGCAAATTTGGGGAAATCAGAGAATGTATGGTCATGAGGGACCCCACCACGAAGCGTTCCAGGTAAATCCGCCTCTTGGTTTTTGTTAATGAGTTTCCGAGTTGGAAAGTTGAGATGCGATGATGTGCATCTGTGTGTTGCCTCTGCAAAAAAAAAAAAAATAAATAAAAAAGTCTCTAGAAATAAGCCTGGGCTGAGTGGGAAGGGTCCTTGCCTTTTTTTTACCATTATTATTTCTCAACTCCCAAACGCTAAATAGCTGGAGAGTAGGAAATGGGACCGGACTCTGATGCCCGTTTGCTTCGGTTTCCGTGCAGACCGTGGCGTTTTTGCATCTTCCCATTTTTTTTTTTTTTTTTTTTTTAAATTAATGATGGGGTGTCCCAAATCGAGCAGCCCCGCGGCCGGCTGCGCCGCGCGGAGAGTTGCGCTTGGTATTTTTTCGAGTCCTTGCGGCTTCCCCTCTCAGGTGATCCCATCCTTAGCCCAGGATCAAACAAAGCCCGAATTGGGGGTAGAAAGGTGAAGCGGGGTAGGACCGGAGAGGCTCGGGTTGTCTCCTCCCTCTCGAACCTGAGATTTGATTGATTTTTGCCTCGGAGGAGGGGGTGGCACAGAAGGAAACGGCCGTTTATTGATGTTTTGGGTTTTGGCAAATTTCTGTCTAGTTCTTATTTTTTCTTTTTTCCTGTCTCCCCCACCTTGTTCTTTTGTCTCGTTTCAGAGGCTTCGGTTTCGTTACGTTTGCCGATCCGGCAAGTGTAGACAAAGTATTAGCTCAGCCCCACCATGAATTAGACTCCAAGACGGTATGTTGTATGCCTTGTTGTTTTAATGTGTCCTTTATTTCCTGCAATGTTATGGCTGTGACAGGCTCATTTAAAGGGACAGTGCCCTTTTTGTTCGGTTTGCTGGAGCTGCAGCGATTTGGGTGGCTTTTCAAAGCAGCGTCAAAGTGTCGCTGAGCTGGAAGTTCATCCCGGTGATCCTTGCAGAGTTCGCTTTTGACCGGTAAAAGCTGGAACTTTTCTTTTTTTGTTCCAACTTTCCTGCCTCCAGTGACGAAGGAGATCTGGCGGCTTGTCCTCCGGCCCCGAATTATAAATCACCCAACGGTGAAATGAACCATTTTTTTTTTTTTTTTTTAAAGGTTAAAACTAACTTTCTTTTGTGAGTAAAAGAGAAGCTGCTTCTGGGGTGGGGGGGACTTCTATTTTTGGGTCTGGGATCACACGTGTTCCTGAAGTCCTCCCAGTCTCACCTCCCCAAAATCATTGTTTTTTGGGGGGGAATCCCCCAGTCTGCCACACAGGGGTGTTGTGAGACTTGGGAATTTAATAAATGAAAAGCACTTTAAGGGGAAAGGTGCTATGGGAAGACTGTGTGTCATTTCTGCCAAGCTTTCCAGTGTAATCAGTCCCCAGTGGATCATGGGGGAAAATGCTCAGGAGATTCGGCCTATTTTTTTTTTTTTAAATACATATTTTTTTTCCTTTTAAAAGAAAAAAGACCAGAAATATGCAAGTAAAAGCCCTAAACCTCGCATGGCATTTTTGGTATCGGGTCCAGCAGTAGATAGCAAGATACGCACGTAGATAGGCCTTAGTTTCATCTTGCTACCCAGTGCTTTGCCAAAAGTGAAGTTTGTGCATTGCTACTTTGTTTCAGTGATGAGCCTCAGCAAACCTAGCACAAAAAAAAAGGATACTGGTAAAGGTCACCATGGCTTTTGGTACCGGGCTGTCTGCAGAGAGGAGTTTGGGGAAGGCAGGGAGGACTCGTACTGGTTTAACTGTCTGCTAAAAGTGTCAAGTGTTTTTTATTTTTTCTTGTTTGCTACCGTGTTTCGTGGCTCGTGTTCTGGATCTTAATTTGCTTTCTATTGAATTTTCACACGAGCACGCTGGTTGGAGGGGGCGGTGGCTTAACGCTGCTAAAATTTGGGGGGGGGGATGAATGCAGTGAATGAAAAAGAAGGCAAGAGCCAGGCACGCCAAGCCCGGTATATATTTTTTTATTTGCTCGAACTTGCTTGCAAACCAGCCAGAAGGAAACAAAACCCTTTCCAGAAGCAGGTGGACCGTAGTGTTTTAATTCGCCCCACAAACTGTGCTGGGCTTGTCTGAACACGTAGCCCATGCCTTCACATTCCTTAATAATTTGATTTGGGGTTTAATCAGATATGGCAAGATAACTGATTCAACTGTGCTCCTGAGATTAAACTCTCGCCAGACTCCTGCTGGACAGCTATATTCGGTTTATTTTATTTATTTATTTATTTGTGTGTTTTAGACGCGATAAGTTGAGATAAAAAGAGGCCAACGTTTTGTGAATGAGCTTCAAATCAAAAGCAAACCCTAGGAGGCCCCTCCAAATGGTTTTTGGCTGTATCTGAAGACCCTCCCCTGCCTTGACCCCGCATCGCGGTCGAGTCGCTGGCATGTATGAACGTGCTCTCGGGCAGGGGAGGGGCAAAGAAATGGACCAAGACAAATTTCCATCAGTCTCAATTATGCTGTAGTGATTGAATCCACTTAGAGAAAGCAAGAGAGGCAATTGCACCGAAAGCCTCCATCCCAAAGTACATCCACCCAAGTTCTCCCTCCGCCCTTTATCTGTAGACATATTATAGTAACTGTTCTTCAGCATAACATAGCATTTGACTCTGTTTCAACGTTCAGTACAGGAGGCCGATCGGTTGGGTATTGGCATGGAAACGGCGCTCTTGTTTACAGTTACGTTAAAAGCTTTGTTTAGGTAATGGCCTATATCAGAAATAGTATTATAGTCATTTCCTAGAGGACTTGTAGATACAGTAAGTAGAATTGTACCTAACTAACTAATTTTTTATTTATTTTTATTTTGTTGTGGTAGAAGTTTGATTTATTTATTTATTTTGGTTGGTATTTCAATAGTTGACAGGGATGTGCAAAAGGTACGGATTTGCCACGCTGAACGTATGACTCCACTTTCAAAGGGTGATGGGGTTTAGCCCAAAGTTTTGCCCAATGCGTAATTATTTGCAATGAGTGGTGTAAAGAAGCCTGTGCTTTGAGAACTGGCCTTCAGAAATGGATGTGCTGCTTCAGCATCTGATGGCTGTTCTGATTTTATTGATTGATTGATTGATTTATTTATTTATTTTTTATTTTATTTTTTTTTTTGCACTGATGTCTTTTTGGCATGATTGGAGCTGTGCTGGGGGGTTGACTTTTTTGGGGGGCGGGGTGGATATTCTGATTTTTAAGGCAAAAACATGTCACTTTGAGAGCTGATGTAACATCATGCATACTTGCTTCTCTCTTTGGGTATCTCAATGGAAAATCCACACCTGTTGTATTTCCCTGGTAGACAAGTACCTAGTCAGTGCTGAATATATTTGTAGATCATGTTAATCTCTCTGAAAAGGTTAGCTTTCTAGATAAAGGATTTGACTTTTGATGCTTTTTGAACAATAAAGTGGCATATAATCACTCATTTCTCAGGTATACGTGGAAAAAAAAAAAAAAAAACAACCCCCAAACAACCAGACAGTACATTTGTACCTAATATAGGCAAATTAATTTATCAGTTAAGTGTCAAATGATTGACCCATTTACAACTTGGCATTCATTGATTAAAACCAGTAGTTAAATGGAGTTGCATGGTGCTTATCTATCACTGACATCCCGCCACCAATGCCTCTACCAAGTGGAACATCTCTGTTCCTACGTAGTATAAAAAAACTATCCATAACAAAATCTGAAATTAATATTCCACTAAAAAAGGCTTTTATCTCCAAGTATGCCTTAACAAAAGTATGATCAAAGTTTGATGCAAAGAAAAGTAGGCACCGAAAGCTCAGCAACATACAGGGTTTGCTACTTCAAGCTATCCCTCTTCCAAACTTTTTATTTAGATGCCTGCGTGCAAAAGAACAGTGGGAAATCAGCAGCATACAGACATATTATTATGTAAAGGGGCCATTTAAGAGGCATTAGTGTTAAATTGATTATTTTGTTTGCATCAAAACATGAATCGCTGGTGATGCCTCCCTCTCTCCTTCCCCCCATTCACCTTGGATGGCAGGAAACAGTCACCATCTCAGGGTGGCTCACTGAAAAGTTGTTTCAAAATTGCAAAACTGGCTTGGTGAATCGAGGGGGGGACACCCTTTGCGACTTGCCAACTGAAATGCAGAATAAAGGCGTCTAAAAATAAGGCGTCGTGGGATGAAACCAGGGTGTTTTCTTGCTTGCTGTCTCAGTGGCATTGAGGTCTCCCTTAAGATCACTTAACGTGGCTCCTTCATAGAAACCCTGAACACATCTTTTCAGGATGTGGATTTAGAAATAGGGTTGGGTTGTTGTTGTTGTTGTTTTTGAATTTTAATTTGAAGTGTCCCTTCACAGTTGTTTTTTCTTTTTATTGTCCACCTGTGTTTTGTAAAGCAGATCCATCAGGAAAGCAATTAGAAAAAATAATCTTGCAGTCATTTGAACACGCTAGTCTTAATCATTCGCTTTAAATCATTTGGCTTGCAGTGTATCTGTTTTTTTGGGGGGAGAGTAAGTGCGTGTGGGGGAACCATTAACCACCCCTCCCAGAACCTGAAGGACATTTGCTTTTTAAGAAATATTCTTTCCAACTCTCTGTCTCTACAAGCAGTCTCCAGACTATGCAAGTAGCATTCGGTGTTTGGTGGCGAGCCCAAAGAGTAGCACAGAGCCCCTCGTGTACCAAAGGAGCTGCAGGCTAGAATACCCTGTGCATGGCTGATAGACGGGATCAGTTTTCTTCCCTTTCCTCCCCCACCCCAAACTAAAAAAAAAAAAAAAAGGACTTGATTCTTATCAGCTCCCGATTTGCTCTTGATGACCCAGCCTTCTGAATGCTAAGCCTGAGAAATGAGAGATTAATAATTCAGGGGTTTAAAAACAAAAATACCAAGCTAGCATGTTGATTTTCCCCTTTTCTTTTTCCTCAGATTGACCCTAAAGTTGCATTTCCCCGACGAGCACAGCCTAAGGTAAGTAGGAGGATCAATAATAGGATTTTAGGCACACAGAGAGTCATTGTTGCCAGGCAGTTCAGGTTTCAAACAGGGAATTGGCAATGAAAGCTTTTAAAGCTGGAGCGCATGGCGTCTTAAGGGTATCAGCATATGGCTGTGAAACTACAGGAGAGCTGCTTTGTGCGATATTACATGTCTCTAGTTTAACCATCTCCTTGCAGAGTCCCAGCCATTATGTCTGGCTGAAGGAGCCTGAGGTTTTCCTGGTCCGACCAGGGCAGTGTTGCTCCATGACTTGGAGCTGGTGCCAGATTTTGCTCAAGGTATCGGTGCAGGGTCTCGGAGGAACGCTCGGCGTAAGGGCAGACTCCGGGCTGGTTGGTAGCCGAATGGCCGGGAATAAATCTCTGCCCTTCCTTCTCTGCCAACTTTTCCGCACTGTGTTTGGCTGCTCGTAAGCCGTGGGTAGCGAGCGCCCGATTGGCCCGACGCTCTGAACTGTCCCGAGCGCTCTGTTGAGTCTCTGTGAAAATGGAGAAACAAAGAGCCTTAAGTCTCTCATCCTTCCAGTCTGCTTGGATAAGTGACCTGCCTTCTTACAGGGCACTTTTGTTATCATGCGGTTGGTTTCCACGTTGGGACAAAGACACTTTAGCCATGTGCGGAGCCGCTTTTGTCTGCACGGTCTCTCTGCAGTGTCACTTGGTGCTGGAGGACCTGCTTTGTGGAGTTGAACCGGCAGCCCTGTGTAGCCAAAGCATCAGATCAGTTTTCCCGTCCAAATGTGCAGTCAGTTAACTTGATTTTTTTGAAGTCTGAAAGAGATTTTCTCCAATTGACTTTCCTCTCTCTCTTTATTTGTCTTGAGACTCCACTGAACGCCCCCCCCCCAACCTAACGACTTAATTCATCTGGTGGATAACATTTGTATATACTGTAGTTGACTTGGATTGCTTCTGTATTCTGTTCTTGTACCGCCCCGTCATTAAGAAGTTGTAGACACAAGCAAAAAGGGAATTGTGGCTGGAATTGGATGTAGAGAGGCTGCCTAAACAAATTTAACTTAATACTTTTATTGTATATAATCCCTCGCGAGAGCGAGCAATTTAATCGTGTTTGGAACTATAACATTAAATACCGTGTAAAACACACATCCAGGAAAAACAGTGTGTAATTTAACTACTCTGAGCATTCAGCAAGAGGAGGAATAGCAGTTTAGGGGGAAAAAAATCTGGAGGCAGGATTTCAGACTAAACAAATATGGTGAAACCTCTCCTCGAGCGCTTCGACTTTCATAAGATGTAGCTAATACGAATTGGTGACGAAAGAGAGGACGGGCGTATTTGTGTCCCGAGCAAAGAGTTTCTGTTTTGCAGAGTTTTATAGCTTTGGGATTATGTTGTTGGATTAGTGTAGTGTTTCCAACCGTGCATTCCTTAAAAGTTGCAGAAGCCCTAACTAGTCTCATAATTAAAGCACAGAAGCCATCCTGCTTTGTAAGAAGTCGTTCCCCCTCACTTTTTCAAAGGCCTCTTCACATTTCCAATGGTCTTCGGTTACCAAAGCTGCCTGTACCTTCAGTATTGTTTGCAGGAGCTTATAACAGAGCTGCTAAACTTTCCCATATGACTTTTTTTTTTTTTTGCTCAAAACAATAACAAAACAAGGAGCTTGTCTTCTCCTGCGCAGCTGAGATGAAATTGCTATTATTGCCAAAAATATCCTGCCACCCAAAAAATGTGAATGCAAAATCAGGTCATCTTTGCTTAGTGGATTTGCTGCTGTTGTTGTTGTTTTGAAGTGTTGTTTTTGGTTGGTATTACATGTCTTTTCAGGTGCAGAGCAAATGATGAAACTTAGGTAGGCTTCCAGTATTACAGCAAAACCACTTTACAGGGAAAGGTTGACAGATTTTGTCTAGGTTTATTCCTGTTTGTTTGTAGTCGGTTCTCACTAGGCCACTGACATTTCTGATGGAGTATGTGGTGTGTGTGTCTGATTGTTGTTGGGTTTTTTTTCGGGGGGGGGGGGGGGGGGG